ACATATATGTACATACACACATATACATATAAAAACTGGAACCAAAACATCATTCATTTGTCGTATTTTGGTGGTGGGAGAAAATAATCTTATTTGTATAGCTCTGTAGAGTTTCCAAAGAACATTCTGCAGAGCGACTTCATTGTACTTTGAGAGAGGCAGTGCAAATATTACCTTCATTTTACAGATAAGGCTCAGAGAGATTCAATGACTTCTCAAAGGTCACACCTAGTAAGGTGTAGAGTTCAGATTTGAACCTAGTTCTGAATCCCACTACAAAATGCTGACATTCCCCTTTGCCTAGGTGAGGAAATGGAGGCTGAGAGATTAAATTATTTGCTCAGGGTCACATACCTAATGTGTTGGAGACTGGATTTCAGCCCAGGTCTCTCGTCACTCTAAGTCCTTGGCTCTTTCCATTATACTACACCACCATGGCACACAATAATTGGTTCACCCAAAAGTTCCAGTTTGGTGGGCTTCAGTTTTCTCATCTGGAAAATGAGGGCATTGGAATAGATGATTTCTAAGATCCTTTCTAGCTAGGTATTCTATGGTCTTGCCTGGGGCACGAAACTTTCACTTCTGGCCAGTCAACAAGCATTTATTATAGGCTTACTATTATACAAGGCAATGTGTTAAGCATTGGGTACACAAAGAAATGCAGAAGAAGCCAATCAGAGCGCAGAATTTTCAAAAGCTAAATTTAGTAAATTCATATCTTATGATCACACAGCCCATAGTGGTAACAATTGCTTTTAAAAAAATATTTTTCGGGGCAGCTAGGTGGCACAGTGCATACAGCCCTGGAGTCAGGAGGACCTGAGTTCACATGTGACCTCAGACACATAACACACACTAGCTTGTGTGACTCTGGGCAAGTTACTTAATCCCAGTTGCCTCACAAAAAAAAAAAATCTAGTCTGAAAACAGAAACTCTTCTGTGGGGCCCCTGACCATTCACATGTATATCCCACTCTGTATTTCCCTAGTATTTGGTAGTGGTGTATCAAAGCTCCCCCTACATGTTAAAAAAAATTTTTTTTAGGCAAAAGTAATTGAGCTTTGATACTATGATACTATGGTCTAAGGTACTATGGTTATGAGAAAGTAAGCATAGCAGCTAGATGGCTCAGAGGACAGAGCACTGGACATAGGTCCCAGTGAGTTGGGAAAGTCCTGTGGGTCCCTCTCCAGAGAGTTCCTGGACCAAGGAGACCTTCTCTGATAGAAAAATTAACCTCAAAATTTCCTGCCTAGTCTTGAGTCGTGCTTTATGCTTACTGCACAGGGGAATTAAGGGTGAAATAAGGCAAATGTGAAGCTGTGGAAAGAATGTTAAACTGAACATCAGACGACCTAGATTCAAGTCTTAACTTGCTATGTATCTTTGGACAAATGACTTCCCTTATTCTCCTCCTGTGTTGTTGTTTCAGTCATGTCTGACTCTTTGTGATGCCTTTTGGGGTTTTCTTGGCAAAGATACCAAAGTGGTTGCCATTTCCTTCTCCAGCTCATTTTACAGATGTGGAAACTGAGGCAAAGAGGGTTAAGTGAAGTGAAATAAGGAGATTTTATTTGATTTGCCTAGATAGCCTAAGATCCTTTCTTGGTCTAACATTCTATGATACTATGGTCCAAGGTGCTATGGTTATGAGAAAGTAAGCATAGCAGCTAGGTGGCACAGAGGACAGAGCACTGGACCTGGAGTCAGGAAGACTGGAGTTCAAACCTAATCTCAGACATTTACTAGCTATATGACCCATGGCAAATCATTTACCCGGTCTATCCTAGTTTCCTCAACTGTAAAATGGTGGTAATAATAGTACCTACCTTCCAACAGTGTTGTAAAGGTGAAATAAGATATTTGTAAAGCATCTGACATAAAGCAGATACTGCATTGTTGACCTGGGGCAGGATCTCAAAGCCAATACCCATTTATTGGAAATGTGCCTGAATCTTGTATAGAGAAAGAAGATTCCCCAATTTTGATTTTCACCACTGAAGCCAAAAAGGCAGATAATTACTAATTCTACCCTGAAGAATGGGCAAAATTCTAATTCTTATGATGCCTGATTCAGGATACTTAAGACAGATGGGACCTTGCCTTCAGATACTTTCTATCTCTGTTTTGTTTTGAATGAAGATTTTTTCATCCATTTTTCTTAGGGCTGCCTTAATTCTGAGAAAGTAAGCAAGAGAGACCTTAGGGAACATTCCTTTATTGCATCCAAAGGTGCAGTGGAAAGAAGCCCTGAGTTCAAATCCTAGACCTTACAAGTTACTTAATCTATCTGGGCTCAGTTATTTCATCCTTAAAATTAGTGAACTGAACTAGATGACCACTATGGTCACTTCTGGCACTAAATCTATGATCTTCTGGCCTTCATTTGGCCCTGGAATGCTTTTAACTCACCAGACTAGGAATCATTTCCTAAAACTCACTCTGTATCCAAATTGTTAGGAAGTGATGAGGTTATGGAAAATCAGAACAAGAAATGGATTTTGGTTGTAATGTTTCCACATATACTTCTTCTAGAACCACACCCTATGATTTGAGTAGAACTAATTGGCTTGAGAGGGCTAGGTCTGTTTGTTTAGGCATTATTATACCTAATATATTGACCCTTTGGTCAGCCTTCATGTTGACCTAGGTTTTATTGCTGCAAAGAATCCTGACCAGTGATAAATAAATATCCTGAGTAGAGGCCAAATCCTTTAGTTGTCTTTATGTTGGGCTTTTTGGTTTTTTTTTTTTAGCCCTAGTCCTGGTGTTATCAATGGCCATATCTCAGCTTGTGAAGAACAGGCCTATCTGCAACCCCCCACCCACCCAGACGGATGACTCCTATCTGGGTTCAACAAGCCGGTGTGAACAACTGCACTCTGATTCTCAACCCTAGTGCAAAACAGCTGGTTCCAAACCCAGGTGGGTCAGTACATTCAATAATCTCACAAGAGCTTGAACATAAATTATTGCCCCAATCAGAAAAGGAAATTTTCATCTTCCTCCTCCTCCTCCTCCTGCTTCAGTCCTGCAGGACACATTTCCATATGACCATGGATTCATTCACTTCCCTTCATGTGATTTCTTGTGTCCTATTACAAGTCATGTCTTCACCCTTTATTCTTTTAATCACTCTTTATTCCATTAAAAACAAGTTATCTTCTCTTGAGTCTTCTAAACACTTCTGAGTGGGATGGTGGGGTGGGGAAAGGGATGGAAAAAACCATAAAAAGAGCTATTGTTTTTCGAGCACATCCTTACTGTGCTCGATAGCCATGGCTTGTTTGTTCTCATCGCATGGGCCAATTGTCTTTACTTTGATCTATGGCCATAGCCAATACTCCAACTCCTTCCAGCCATCTTGCAAGTGTTGTTGGCTAGTGGTCGAAGAAAAATTGGGTAAGTGCAGATGGTATCACCAGATAGGAAAAGGAGCTCAAGGCATATGCCTCTACTGACATGCATCATAAAATTTCCCTTTCTACAAACACACACACACACACAGAAGTATGTGTGAAATGCTGCAACCAACCCCCAAATCATTTCTTGTTCTAAATTCCTATAACCCTGGAATGTGCCTCCTAAGGCAATCCCTAATCCCATCTCAAATTCTATTTCTCTCTCCTGACCAGCACCATTCTCTCGGTCTCTGCATCTGTCCAGGACTATTCCTCCTCTCCTAATCTCTCACCTTTGGCCCTTAAATCCAGCTTCCTTTTTACCCAGCCCCCAAGAACCAGGTCTTAGGCTAGCATTTCCCCTCCCTTAAGAAAACATGCAGACAGCCCCTCAGTTCATTTGTGCTTTACCGATAACTCATTAAACAACTATCAGATAATTTGCATAGTGAAGCCCAAAAGGAAAGTGCACTTGAAGCTCAAATTTCATCTCTGAGACCTTACACTGTCATTGTCCTCTTGCTCTCGGATTACCAGAAAAGGATTCAGAGGAGTCCCTGTTTCCCACTCAATCCCCTTTCCTACTTACTAGATACCAAACTTTGTAGCTGAAGCCAAGATACACAATGAAAGTCAACACTGTCCATTAAAGGTGGAGAGAAATCTCAGTGAAGGGTATTTAATACCAAAGAGAAACTGTACATCTGGGACAAAAACAAGGATTAAGGCCAGCTAGCCAATCCTGGCTTATCTGTGCATCACGTTCAGGAGGCCTCCCTTCTTGATGGGGGAAACAGCAGCAGCAGCATCACCAGTTTCTGCTTCCCATAAGGGAGCGCAGTGAAGTTCAATTAGTCCGGCTGTGTTGTGCCTGAATTTTTGCAGTCTAGGCACACACAGTGTACGTCCTTCTCAACAGGTCAGATTAAATGGCCCTTTCTCCCTCTGGAAACAGGGAATTTGTAGCATGGTATGGAGACTCGTGGGTAAGGAATAATCCGCAAACTTCAAAGATGTATCTAGACTGGAATGTATATAAATCATAGGTTCCTAGGTGCTGGAGCCCAGACAGTCCTGGGGAAAAGACGGCGCTTCTGATCTCAACCTGGAACCTCCGGGTGTGCATATGCACACATATGCGTGCATATGCACATATACAGAGGGAAGTGAGAAAGCACAAGGCTTCTTACAGATGCAATTTACATTTTGAACAGAACCCTCCAACCATTTCCCACAGGACCAACTCACAAGGACTCCCAACAGCTAGAGACAACCCCCTTCTCATTCAATTTCACTCCTATCCCTCTGCTCTTTTTTTTTTTTTTTCAGACTGCGTGGTAGTAAGCAGGTCCTAACCTCTTATCCTGAGAATGTCAACCAAAGGGACCAAAGAAATCTCCCTGCTCCTAATGTCTGGAACCTCCATGAGGAGTAGAAAAGCAACCAAGCCCAATTCTCAGAGAGATCCTGAAGCTGTAACGTTTTAAATAACATTGCCTTTCAATTTTCTTCTTTTAATTATTTATCATTCATCTATTTATAGAAATATAAAATATATTTATATAGATCTATATAATAAAAACTTTTTTGGGGAGGAGGAAATAGAAGAAGTGGGGGGGGGGGGCAGCCAGAAGAGTGATGCCTCTGCCGGGTTATTTACAGACATACTGGTCGACGACTTCTGTGCATTTTTTGCACTTGACAAAGCAGCACCAGTGAAACTTGCAGTGGCATCTCTCCACCTGGACACTCTTGAACTGGTCATAGCCCCGGCCACAACACATCAGCTCACAGCCATCCGTGCCCTCTGAGGTCTTGTTGCAGAGGCGGCCCTGAGTGCCCAGGGAGCCAGTGGTCTCGTTGCGAAAGCAGTAGTCCGGGCTAGGGTCTACATAGACCAAGTCCTCAGGGGTGGGCTGGTTGAAGCGGCTGTTCACTAGCTCTAGTTTGCCTTTCCGAGTGATACGCATGGCGGCCGCACTGTCGTACTTCTCCTTCAGTTGGTCTCCCACCTTTCGGAACTCAGCCAGCTGTAACCAGCAGGTCTTGAGGCTACAGGATCCTGAAACACCATGGCATTTGCAGGCCACATCTGCCATCTTGTATACAGCCTGCATGTAATGCAGAAGAAGAAAGAGAGTCAAGGAGAAGGACGAGCAGTAGAGAAAAACCTTATACCGTGAACCAAGACCTCCCAATGTGTTAGTGGCTACCCCTAGGAAGAAATTCTTCGTATGTGTGAAGATTTTTTTTTTCTAATCCTTTGATTAGTAAGTTGAAAATAATTAACAATGTCTTTACAGCCCCTGAGGTTTTTCACCTCTAAGCTAACCAAGTACCTAGAAGAGATGGTAGGGGTGGGATAAAACTAAGTTTCAGGAACAGATATTCAGTTCAGTGACACAAAAGTTAATCATATTAAAAAGGTTAGACAATCTTCCTCTCTTCTGATTATCACAGGATTAGTGTTTCTAAGATATTATCAGTTGTAGTAGCACCATGAATCACATCAAGGTATGTCTCCTCCTAAAAAAAAAAAGGTATCCCTCTTAAAGGCAGCAGGGAACCTGAGAAAGAGAAGTGGGGCTTTATACTTTTTTTTTTGTATTTTTGCTAGGCAATGGGGTTAAGTGACTTCAGCGTCACACAGCTAGTGAGTGTCAAGTGTCTGAGGCCGAATTTGAACTCAGGTCCTCCTGAATCCAGGGCCAGTGCTCTATCCGCTGGGCCACCTAGCTGCCTCAGGGGCTATATGCTTTTGAATTTCAAGGAAGTAGTGAAGCTTCTGGTCTCAATCCATCAGGCAATATATGAAGATGAGTCTTTCTTATTCCAAGTCCAGTGCTCAATCCACTGAGCCACCTATTTGCCCTATTAAGTTTCTACTGTGTTAGCCACTGGGGATACAAATACAAAAAAATAAAATAATCCTTACCATTAAGTAGTTTCCTTAAACTTCCCCAAGGAGTTTGACGTAGAGATTTTCCCTGGATCTCTGGGATGGGAGTATAAGAAGCCACAGAGAATGTGGGAGAAGTCTAACTCACCTCTCTTTGAGGTCAGACTGATAGATCCAAAGTCTACATCAGCCTAGAGCTGGAGCCTTTTGTAGAAGGTGCACCTCCTCGGCCACCTCTGATATAGATATCAAGACCATAATTTACATAAAACAAAGTTGCTGAACCAAAACAATTTGGAGGCTGAGATCCACACCTAGATCATCCTGACCAAAATTTAAGAGCAGATGGGCGGGGCAGCTAGGTGGCACAGTGGATAGAGCTCCAGGCCTTGGAGTCAGGAGGACCTGAGTTCAAATCCAACCTCAGACACTTGACACTTACTAGCTGTGTGACCCTGGGCAAGTCACTTAACCCCAATTGCCTCACCAAAAAGTAAAAACAAAAAACAAACCAAAAAAAAAAAAAAAGGTAGATGGGCCCTAGAAAGTTGCTTTAAAAGGACTTTCAATGAAAAATCACTGGTATGTTGAATGGAATAATTCTGGCATGACAATAAATCCTAAAATGCACACACCAGTATGTTGGAAAATAAAATATTCAGTAACTAAGTCAGAGTTCATGTCTCAGGGACATTTACTCAAGACTTCTCATGTCTTTGTCCTATTCCATGGAAAAAGCCCAGCAGGTGCTAGGAAATCATTTAAGCATCATCAGCTTATATTTCAATTGTCAAAACACTTCTTGATTCTGTCTGGTGGAATATTATTCTACAGTTGTGAAAACTGATGATCCTAAAAGGCCAAATGGCCTACTTAGGGCCACCCAGAAGGAGTTGTAGGGATCAATATAATCTCTGTTCCCTAATCTCTGGACATAAAAAGGGTTGGAAATGGAAAATTGGGTAGAAACTCCTCAGGCTCCTATCCAAGGTTAAAGACAAGAGGCTCAGCCCTGGAAGTGCCAGGCACAAGGCATAAAGGAACTGACACTCCATACCAATAAGGCACTTCAAAGCTTGGGCCCATAATTACTCCTTCTGGAAAAAATCCCTTGTGTCTGGGCCCACAGTCCTGAAATTCCACTGGAAATGATCCTTAGTGCTCAGGGATGGGATCTATCTGGAGGGGCTGGAAGGGAAGGAAGTATTAAGGGACTAGAGCTCTGTGTACATTATCTCTAAGTACTGAGGGGAGGGGGATGGGCAGAGACAGGATAACCATCTCTAATGAGAATAAACACTAGAGAGAAGCAAGTCCTCAACCTTTTTGGTCTCAGGCCTCTTCTACACTATTAAAAATTATCGAGGATTCTCCCAAAGAGCTTTTGTTTTATATGGGTTTATATTTGTCAATATTTACCATATTAGAAATTAAAACAACTTAGTATTGTTAGCCAAAATAGTTTTTACTTTGGGAACCCTCAAGGGTCCTTGGTCCACACTATGAGAAACACTGACTTAGAGAGATCTGGAAGAAGAGAGAAAGAAAAAGAAATAGAGACTAGTCCTTATTACTAAGGGTTGTAAACAGGCTTCTCCTGGAGGACAGAAGAAAAACAGCAAAGTTTGAAACCCCTAAGATCCTTGGTCCTTTTTGGTATCTATGAGCAAAAGCAAGAAGGAAAGGCCAATTCAAATAAATTCATTCAATCTAATAAGGATTAATTAAGTATATACTACAGTATCAGAAACTAGGGATGAAAGAAAAAAAAAAACAAAGCAATCTCTGCCCTCAAAGAGTTCACATTAGAGGCAGCATTATATCATGGGAAATGCGCTGGATTTGCAATCAGGAAACACAGGTTCAAATCTCTCCTCTGCCATTTTCTTCCTGTGTGATCATAGGAAAAGTCATTTAATTTCTCTGGATTTTGGTTTCCTCATTCCCTTGTAGCTCTAAATCTGTTTTCTTATATGAACTCTTATGACTCTTAAGTATAAAATAAGATAATTTGAAGAGAAGGAAATCACTAAACATCTTTTGCCTACTCCTTGGGGGAACCATTCTGCTGAGAGGCAGGAGACCATAGACTGGTCTATATTGCATTTCCGACATACCACTGAATCTAAAGCAAAGCTTCTTCTCTTCTGCTATCTCATAGTGGTTCTGAAATTTTCAAAGATCTCAAAGTCTAGAAAGTGTTTTTGAATTCTTATGGGCCAAAGATTTTTTTTATTATTTTATCAGTTTTGCTATCCACGAATGAGAGGAAGTTACTTCTAAAATCAAATAAAAGGCAAAATAGCTCTTAGATTTACCCACCATCAAGAAGTCACAAATTTGATCTACAGCAAAATCAAGCCTTAAGTGCAACAAACTAAGAATTTTAAATTCCTCCTCAAACAGTGCAAGAAGATAGGAGATGAGTACCTCACACTTAATAAATGTTTATTGAATTCAAGGCCTTTGGCCTCAGAGAGTGATTAATGGCTGAGGCCAGTTGCCTCAAGAGGGGATAAATAGTGGAAAGGAACAGGCGTACTAAAAATGGAGTAGACTGGGCCTAGGGTAGAGATAAAGAGCCCAGGAAGAGGTTTGGAGTCAAGGGAGAAGGAAGGTGTGCTAGGAGAAAAATAAGGCAGAAGGAAGGAAAGGCCCTGCTGAGATAACAGCCTAGTGTAAACAAATAAACAATTAAGGGCAATAAAATGAGGAGCCAGCAGCGGATAGTTCAAGACTATATCTGAAATAGCAGTTGTTTCTATTCCATTTCGAGGGGGACAAGAATCTCACAGACTTTGAAAGCTCAAGATCTGTGATTCTAAGGGAGGAGGCACTGTCCCATTAGCTAAGAGCAAAGTCAGGAAGCAGAAATAACTTTCTAAGTCTTTAATTCCTTCCTAGGAGCCACTGGTGGGTCACATTAGTCTCCAAGTGCTCTTAGCTTAAGAATTTATCCCCTTAACTGTTCTCTTTCTAGCACTCAGGCTTCCACATCTGAAGATCTCAAATTCTGGTGACAAATGGGAATTCTAACACAGGTGAACTTCTGGGAGGATCTGAGTTAAAAAGATGTCCCATTTTTAGGGAGGGTTAGAGTCAGCTGTTGTCTCATTGATCTAGTTTGTATTAAAGGATAATCTGAGACAAGGCCAAAGACTACAATTTCTTATATCATTACAAACTAGATTTATATCATCTAAGCCAGGATAGATTCAAACCAGTCTCTGTTGATTTGAAGTGAGAAATGGCACTGGGAAAATGGAATTTTACCCAATAGTATATTATTAGCCCTGGTATACCTACTTTGTAGAAATATAGTTTAACTTTCCTATGCCCAAGGAAATACTTGAATATTTTGAATTACACAAAAACTATTAGGAGCAGCTATTCATTGTAGAAATGAATTCACAATCCTTTAAATGTCAAGATTCCTGTGGTGAAAAAAAACCATGAACTGATTTATTAAAAAATTGATTTTAGGAATTCACTCGTTTCATAAAGCTAGTCACGACTACATTTCTATCAACGAGCTAACACTGAAGTTCCAAATTTATTCCTCTCCAGGAAACTTTACCTCATTAATTCAGCTTTAGTTTCACTACTCGGACCTAGCTAGGGACTCAGAGTCCTGTTCTTTGATACATACCCTTGAGTGTCTTACTAAAGAGAAAGAATCTGCCACCAAGTCCAAGGGGACAGTTCATTTCAGTCACATTTCTTTTGAGGTATACTGGAGTATATATTTACTTATTTATCACACCGTCTCTGTGGGACTCTCTTACCCTGCGACCAGCCTCATTGTTCTGCAGATTCATAAGTACACGACCCTGTTCCTCTGAGCCCTTGGCAAAGTTTTTCTCTCGCTCCCGAGCATCCACAAACTCTTTGGCAAAGCGGTAGCCATACTCCACATTGTCTCCACAGCCACCCCACAGCCAGTCCCGGGGCAAATCCTTAGGCCGGGCAGTCCTGCTACAGCCACACGTGGAAAGCTCGCCTTCCCGACAGGCTCTGCTAATGGCGTTGACCACACCTGCAGCGCTCACAGCATATGTGAAAGCAGTCTCTCGGCTACCTAAAAGGAAGAAGAGAAATGATGGCGGCTGAACTCCTTCACTAAACAGTGGATCCTGCACCACAGGAAAAACACATAAGGGTTAAGAACCCTAAGGGAAGTTGGGTAGAACAAATTAATAAACTCCAAATGAAACTCCCATTTCCAAAGAAGCTCTCATGACCTGGTCCAGGTGGAGTGATCCCAGTCAACTATACAAGATACATCAGATGAGACTAGTTTGCAATGCTGTTGTGATGAGTAGGGCTGGGTCTTGTTAATATACAAATAATTGCATTTCAGGGTATGAAGAGTTTTCATGTGATTATATGGTACTGAACTGCAGAAGTATTAAGAAATAGGTAGTTCAATGACTAGAGAAGTAAGTGGAACTAATGGGATAATAATGAGTCAAGCAACACTGTCAGGTCATTTTTTTTTAACGCCAGGTAAAATCCTTCACTCATGTACCCCATTTACACCACTGCATACACATCTTTTAATTACTGCTACAAGCCAACAGGATGGTAACAGAGTCAAAGTAGGAAAGTGAACTAGAACAGATGATAATTAGGCTAGAGTAGTCCGTAGACTACCCAGGGGCAAGCAGACTGAAAGGGGAAAACAGCTGTAAAGTCTCTCAAATCAGCTCTATAATTCAAGGTGTGATCTGTATTCCCTAAATTTCAGTGGCCAGAGGCAATGTCCTGGTTTCTCTACTCACTTCCAAAGCACATGTTACCTCCACCCTAAATTAGAACATTCTTGAAACATACCCACAATGGCTGTCCTACCCATCCTTAGTGTGGCCCCATTGAATAACTAGACTATTTCCCATGACCATTTCCCAGAACAATGAGTCATTTTAAAACTTCATGAATTAAATTAGATGGAATTCTTAGCCATCTCTCTTCTACTATCATGGTTTATAAGGAGACAGGACCTACGTATAATCCCCACTATTTTATTCTGAATCTCTTAGGTGCAGCTGCCTGATAAAATTTGGGAAAAGGCATGAGGTTCTATGATCAATTAGAAGACGTTCTAAAATTTTCCACTTTTTCCCTGACCCCATTTTTTGGTTATTCAGGAAGCAAGGAGGATGTAGCAAGGTTTGACACCAAACCGCTCTAGGCTATTGAATTTCTCTAAGTGAAGCAAGGGTCAGTCCTGAGATAGGAGAGGGCCAAGAAAAACCCAGATGATTTCAGGAAGCAGCTCGTGGGATTCAACCACTAGGATTTTTCCCTCTGAGTCAGCACAGAGGCTCCACCCAAGCCAGGGAAAGTAGAGTATGGGATATGAGATTGAGAAGATGGCAACCTAGGAGCCCTTGAGAGAGTTTGAGAAACTCAGAGGAACAAGTAAGAAGTTATGGTCCCATTCTGAATAGTTCATTCAGCTCCATTTCCCTATAAGTCAGTCCTGGGTTTGTACAAGATACATTAGTTGATGGTAGTTTCCAAATCTTCCCTTGAACAAATGAACAATTGTTGTTATATTGAGAAAGGCCAGTAGTACTCACTATATAAATGGACTCATTTCAGTGTATGAAGAGTTTTCAGGTGAGTACATGGTACTACTACCTTCCTCAGGGATTTGGGAGATAATAGAGGACTTGAGAACCAGTAATTTACCACTTACGGTACTTTCGAAAGCAACCATTTTTTAAATTCTAGACGTTCTATTTGTCCTATGGATGAAAGCCAGAACAATGAGCAGTCATTGAACCATCAGGTTTGCCCTTTACCTGACAGTAACTGTATAATACTGTCAACATGGGTCACATTCATACTGCCCAGAATTGGAGGAGTACTCCAAAATTCCCATGGGAGGTTGCTCCGGACTCAGGAAGAAGTCAGGGGGCCACTTTTTGGTGTTCTGCTGCCCCCTGATGGCCATATTTTTCAGCAACTTGGAGAAAAGCAAGTGAGAAAGGGTTGGCCTGGGGTAAGTAGTTGTATAATCTTAGAATAATGCTTATACGTTATTAGATGTAGAGGGCTCTACAGAGATTGTCTAGGTCAACCTCTCATTTTAAAGATGAGGAATATAAGGTTCAGAGTCAAGATCAGAACCCTGAGTTTCCTAACAGTGCTCTTTCTACTATACCTACTATTAAGAATGAAAAGTATGACAATTTCTGCAAGGACTTAAGTTTTAGGACTGTTTTGCAGGTAAAGGCAAAAAAGGGGTGGCATAAATAAGATAATAATAGTTGACATTCATATAGTACTTTAAGCTTTGCAGAATAGTTTGCATGTATTATCTAAATCGCTCTTTATAACACCATTTTATAGATGAGGAAACTGAAGCACAGAGAGGTTATGTGTCTTGCCTGTGGTCACACAGTCAGAGGATTACTTTGAACTCAGGTCTCTCCACACTCTCAAGTCCAGTAATGTTTCCACTATACCACAATGATACTAATGGAGAAGTATAAGGGAGTCAATCCTCTTTTTATTCTACTTTGGGTGGTAGGGTGGGGTAGAAAAACAACAACTCTGTATTACCCTCATAAAAATTATTCTTCTATGGAAAGCTGATGCCACACAAATTCCCACTAACCCCAACCAACAAAACCAGACTGACTCCTCCAACAAAATGAAGTCCTGGGAAGGGTACTGTACATTCAAGATAGGGGAATGACCAAATGGATTAAAGAAGAACCAAGAAATGGTGAACTATTACACTTACTCTGTAGGCATGAATACTTCACTCTTAAATAGTCCCTTTTGGAAAAGCTGATACCTAAGGATCCCATACTCTCATTTATTCATCTTAACCTGGTGCAGAAGGAAGCAGGAAAGGTGCATAGATGGAAACGTTTTTTTCGACCCCTATTTGCTCAGATTGGGGTGAGTAAAGAGTGAGTAGGGGAGGAAGACTGTAGCACTCAGGCATGGACAACTGAAGCCCCTTCCCAGGGGCCTAACCTTCTAACCTTCCTAAGTCAGTAACATCAAATCACTAAAACCCAGCGGCCCCATGATATGCTAATGACCATTCCTAGGGATAAGCTACTGCCACTGACACAGTTATTGGTGTGGGAAACTGTCTGGGTTGAAGCCAGCAAAGGCTAATACTGCTTTTTAACACCTTCTCTTTATGGTCCTAAGGATAGGACCCTGTAGAATAGTGCCGGATTTCTCAATTTCTTGCCAGGGGGAGAATTGCATTTCAAAAGGAATCAACACAATTAAACCCCGGATCACACCTCTATCCAAGCAATAGGACAACTGATGCATCCTTGACCAGCAGTGGAAGGGAGAGAACTAGTCTTTTCACTGTCTCAGATCTCCCTCTTCCATTCCTTTTGCTTCCAAACAATAAAGCTAGGGCCAACCATTCCAGAGCAAGTTAATGACAATTATGATAACCAACAAATCACAGCTTCTCCTTTCTTCAAGGCATCCTATGAGACATACAAGAATGCTGCATATATTCAGCATTCCAAAAGGAGGCACCAGAGAGAAGACACTGAAGGCAGTAGGTGGATTTCTTAATCCCCCAGAACTCAATTTCTTCAGTTGTCCTGAGCCTCTTCCCCCAGCCCATGCCATAGGGCCAGAGATAAATTGAAAGTTATTATACATACATATGTGTGTGTGTGTGTGTGTGTGTGTGTTTGTATGGTCTACATATCATTCACTAACCTCTAATACTAACTCTCTACTACACTATATTAACAGATGAAGTGTAGCATTAAAGACATGATATTCTAGGACTGGCTCTCCCACTAAGTAGCTATTTAGTCTTGGGTGAAATGCTTCTCCTAGGGCCTCAGTTTCCTCATCTATAAAATGAGAGGACTGAATGGTCCCTAAGGTCTCTTCTAGTCTTTTTTCCTGCCTACTTCTTCCAAACCTAAACAGCATATCTCCAACAGGCATTTGAGACCTCTTTGTGCTCATCTTGAGTGAGGTTAGCCATATATGCCTAAAATTGGTTTGGATATTCAGACTAGGCTCATGGAGTTATTTAAGCACCTTGTTCCTTACCTATCTGCATGACCCTCCCAAAGACAGAAGTGTTGTCCACAGTGCTGCAATTCCAGCGTCTTTGACGGAACTGATACTGACATTCTTTGATGCCTGTCTTGGCTCCTTCCCCAATGTAGGCCATATGCTCCTGGTAGAGCTGACATAGCTTTCTCTGGCCAGGGGAAAGCCCAGGCAGTTGACTACATACAGGCTGGGCTCCAATGATGAACATTTCAGGTCTTTGCACTGGGTTCATGGCCAAAGACCTACAAGAAAAAGGACAAAGAAGAGATTTTTCTACTTGTAAATTTTCTAGAAAACACACATTTCTAGAAAATGTAATTTTCCACCTGTAAATTTGAGTTTACGCTTCATCCCCCTCCAACCCTCAATTCATCATCCTCACTCTTCATAGCATAAGGATGACGATAATCTTCTGCCTCTTTTCTATCAGATATAAATTTCAAGACTGTAAGGAAAGGCAGTGAATTTGCTGTCTGAGTGAAAATGGGAAGTTCATAGATAAGATAGAGTAAGAATCCTATGATCTGCCAGTGACAATGGGTTAAAAAGAATAATAGTCTACCTCTCTTTGTCTCAAATATTTGGTCCCTAAATGAATTAACTATGAGGGAGAAAAAATAGCTTAGGTTTGTGGGGAGTTTGTTGATTCAAGAGAAAAAGGAAAAGTCCCTAAAATTCACTAAGTGAAAGAAGATCTGAAAAGGTACAAGAACCTGAGCTAAGGGGGTTACCTTGGCTAAGAGGAAATATTTTCTAAAGAATTGGGCCCAAACGGAGGATGGGGGTAAAACTAAGAGGATAGCATTAGTGCAATCCTTACCCTTTTCACTAGGAAACACTTAATACTGGTACTTTGAAAAGAGAGTAAGAGTCCTGCTCTTCCTGACACAAGTACCAAAAGAGCATCTTCTTTTTTTCTTTAGAGATAGAGATGATATAGGTCACCTTTTTCTAGACTTTGTATCACACCCCCACCACCACCACCAAAAAATATCTCAAGTGATGGAGCTTTCTCCAAAGTGATGCAGAGTAAAATAAGCAGAACCAGGAGAACACTTTACACAATGACTAAAATAATAATGTAAGGGGAAACAACTTTTGAAAGAACACTTCAGAACTCTAACCAAAACAGAGACTGATTATGACTTCAAAAGAAAATGATGAAATATACCTCCCGCCTCTTGGCACAGAGAGAATGGACTAGAGGTGCAGAAGGAGATCTGCATCCTCAAATGTAGCTAATTGTATTAATTTATTTTTCTTGACTGTGTGTATGTGACACACATGTTGTTATGAGAGAATTCCTATTGCTGGGTATAAGGTGGGTTATTGTATAATGATACACCAAAAAAAAGGAACAGAAATAAAAACATTTTTGAAATACACATAAGGAAAAAAAGAAGAACAGAAGGGACACAAAAGATGATGATGATGATGATGATGATGATGATGATGATTAACATTTATATAGCACTTATTATATGCCAGGCATTGTGCTAAGTTCTTTACAAATATTATCTCGGTTGGTCCTCACCACAGCCCTGGGAAATGGGTGCTGTTATTATCTCCATTTGATAGATGAGGAAACTGTGGCAAATAAAGGTTGACTTACCCAGGGTCACTCAGCTACTAAGTGTCAGAGATCATATTTCAACTCAGGTCTTCCTGACTCCAGGCTAAGTGCTCTGAGCATTATGGCGCCACCTAGCTGTACTACCTTGTTAAATTTTACATAATTATATCTATATCTATAGATATATATATGTGCACATACATACATATGTATATATATATATTTCTTTTAAAATTATACATAACAGTTTACAATTTCTTATACAATCTTCTTTCCTATTCTTTGTATCTTGAAATGTTCATTGAGTTTACAATTAAAAAAAGAAAAAAAAAAAGAAATAGAAATACATTGTATATGTATTGTCACTTCACTTACCACCAAGAGTTAGCTTCTGCAAGTAGCTGGACACAGCTGGAGAGCAGAGCAGTGGAGAATAGCAGCAACATCCCAGGCATCCTAGGTGTCACCCCGCTCCAGTGCCTTGGGAAAATGCTTGGGACTGACAATTTCCAAGAAAGGGCTCCCTAGAGAAAATAGAAAAGACGTTTGAATGAATCTGGCTGAATTGAAGGCAACACAAGAAGGACCAGAGAGTAAAGACAGGGAGAGAAAGGAATAGAAAGAAAGGAAAAAATGAAGAAGGAGGAGAAGGAGGAGAGGAGAGACTCTAATAAGAGAGTATGGGAGCTGGAGCTGAGTCTGGCTGCCCCCAAAGAAAATGAGACCTTTTCAATCTTTCTCTCTCCTGAAAGACCACCCTAGAAGGTGTCTGTTGCCCTCTATTTAGCTCAGGAACCTTGGTTGAAGTCTTTGTCCCTCATATTGCAGCCAGAAGTGAAATTTGACTTTAAAGGGAATAAAGGTAGGATGAGTATGTGACTTTAAGGGAAATGATGGTAGGATGAGAAAAGAGAATGCGGAGCAGGAAAGCTATGACTGTGGCAGGCCTAAGAGCTGTTTCTATGCAGTACTCTCCCTAAAGTTGCAAAGAAATTGGGGGAGATCTCTCATCCATTCCCATGTCATACCTCTAATTCCAGCCTAACAAGTCCACTCACAGAAAAAGGAGTCAGGGAGGTTTAAGTTACCTCTCCTTCAAAATTAACTTTTTTTCCCTTTTCACCACACGAATACTTTTCGACCTGAGAATTCAGGAGAAAAGTTGGAGTTCTTCTAACCTTTAAAAAACAGCTTCTTTGGAAGAGTACAAGGGACACTGTATATGCCCTGGGACATGTATGTGGAAAGGTGTGTGTGTGTGTGTGTATTTTCCATGCACAACATGTGCTAGAAGTCTTAGTGTAGTAATAAACTACAGTTTAAAAGTCAAGCTTAAAGCCACATTAAAACTTAGATAACCTATATTTACACACACATACATGTGTGCACATATAATGTATATATACACACATGTGTACACATAGATGCATGGAGAGTGTATATACATTTATGTGCCTAAACATATGTGTAGGCACATATACGCATATTGCATTGTGTATACATATGTATTGCATACATATAGCATTGGGTTTTCTCTCTTTTCCTTACTTTGCTCTCTGGGGCCCTCTGTGGAGCACCTCAGAAGAACATGATCCCAACAATTTCAGGCTTGATTCTGTAACAAGACCTCCCTCAACAGAAATGCATCCCGCCCTAAGAGGCAGCACAACCTGTCCTATGGCAAGTTTCTGAGTTCCCTATTGAGAGGCATATGCACCTTGCCCTCCATCTAGACCTCCTCCCTCAAACCAAAACCCTTTGCCCTGAACCCTCAAAGACAGCCTCAAGAATATACCAGAATCTCCATGTCCTCTCTATTTAGAGCAAGTTCTACAAACAACCCCCTTCGCACTCCCCCCTCCCCTCCCCCCTACTCCCATTGCCTTCCTCTAGGCCATGACTCCACATCCCCAAATGAGTAGCCTTCTTCCCAGGACCCCTTCACACCTTCAGTTTTACACACCCCCACCCCCAACCCCCTCTCACCATTCTGTTCCAGCTGCTCTGGATCTCTGCCTTCCGGGAGAGGGCAGCAGGTGTTTTGGGTCAGAAGTCTCTGAGGTGAGGCAGCTTTTGAGTTCCAGGGCCACAGGGAAAGGAAGATGGCCCTGAGCTGGCCACAGGGAAGCTGGGACACAGCCTCTTCCCCACCCCCTCTTGTGATTTCTTCTTCAGTTTCAGAAGAGGCTTGGGACTTGGGGTGGGGGGAGTAGAAAGCCAACAGGCAGGTGTGCCGGACCAGCAGGAAGCACATCAAAGGGGAAACTTGCTTCTTCTCTTTGTCATGCAGAACTATCTCTGAAATGGTCTGGCCACTATACTAGCAACCTAACAGCTTCCCATTCCCTACTTTCCCATCTCTCCTCTTCTAAAGGATGTCTCCCCTCAATAAATCATCCCCCATCCCTCAGGGCAGGAGGTCTGTGAAAGCACCAAATGGAACCACTAGAGATGGACCAGAGATAGGGCTGGCACCAGGAGCTAATGGCTTTATGGAGGGGAGGGGACCAGGTCCAGCTCAGGAGGACAAGAGAAAAGCTTCAAAGGGTTTCCTTGTCCAAACATCCTTGACTCCACCTACCAATACACTATGGAGACTAAGAAGCCAGAACTGCCTACCTAAATGTCCTTCCATTCTCTTATGTCTTTCCTCCATTTCTGCTTCAATAAAAATATCTCCACTATGAAGATACCCACCTCTACTCAATTCCCAACATACTCTCTCTCATCCTTCCCCTTCAATTATCTTTTTATTGAATGGGCGAAACTCTTGTTCAAATCTTCTCTCTTTTGATGAAATCTGCAATTCTTTATACCTACCTACTCCTTCCCCTTGGATCAGTCTCCCTTACTTCTGTCACATGCCTTCTTTCCCCAAAAGCTTGGCAAGTCCTTGCCCAAGTGTGGCCCAGCTCCAATGAAAGCTACACAGATACCGCATACTCTTATTATTACAAATCAAACTGAAAAGACTTGAAATGTTTCCTGTGGCTTTGATGCCTTAGTGACAGGCAGAATGAGACGAAAGTTTTCCCAGTAAGTCAAGTGTTGCTATTACCTCAAGTTCTAGCCTTATAAACACAACTGAGGTAAGAATGAAGAACGATGGAGTAGCTCCCACCCACTAAGTCTTTCTTTAAGATATCCCATTAAAACGAACAAACAAACAAAAAAATCCACTTCTTTTGTATCTGTGAGTGGCCCCTTTCTCAGTCCTTCAGGTGTACTTTACCTGAAGCTAAATCTTCTATCCTATTGCTCTCCCACCTGGCAGGCAGATCTGCCAAGTCTGGAAGTAGCCTCAGTAACCTAGAACCCAGACGGGTAAACACATTACACTCTTTCACTTCCTCCTTTGGTTGGAGGTGAGAAAGGGCCAAGTGGAAGAATGTGATAAGAGATTTGCAGCAGACTTGGCTGAAATGCAAACTCTTTCCCCCTCTGTATTTGGGAGAAATCTGAGTATGTACTGATAAATTCATGACAAACAAGCTATCTGGTAAGGGGTGCTCAGGGAACACTAGTCAGTTTTACAACCAGATTCAAGTGTGACATTTTACTCTTTATACGATAAATAACCAAAATAGAGAGAGAGAGACACTGATCTGCTGCCACAGGAGTAGTTACAAATTTCCTACAGTATGTTTCCTAATGGAAAAGGCTAATAGCTTTCCAAAATTGCCTACTGTGCATGGACAAATAATTTACTTTTTTTTCTTTTAGCAATGAGTGGAGATAAAAAAATGTAGATTCAAAATTCTCGCCTAGTACACACTACTACTTCCTAGCCGGGACTGAGTTGGTTGTATGTCTGCTCCTATCATCCTGCCTTGTTCAGTAACTAGCCTCCTCCTTCACCCCTACTCCTAAGGGTCTGTGTTGCCCAATCACCCAGCCTCTGAAAGACTAGGCATGTTTAGGTGTAGCCATTAATACAGAGGAATGATAAGAAGAAGGGTAATGGCACCTCTAGGTTTTGTTTGGGGAGTACGAAGAGAAACTGTTGACTGCCCTATCAGCAGCCTCCTTTCCTTTTCCCACCTTTATACCTTTTTTGCCCTTCTCTAGAACCTTCACCCCAGCAATGAAAGATAAGAATGGCATCCAGGTAGCTCAGCTAAGCTGTGACTTCTGTACTGTACTGAAGGTAGTATAGTAGAATGAACACTGAATTTGGAATCAGAAGATCTGAGTTCAAATCCTGCCTCTGTCCACCAGTGGATTTTAGTCCATATCACTGCCCCATTAGTGTGGGGTTGGCAAGTCAATTAAGCTCTTTGGGCCTCAGTTTCCTTAGCAGTAAAATGAGGCGGTTGGACTAAATGGCTTATCAGATTTCTTTCAACTCTAAATCTAGGAGCTATTTTATTATCTGAACAATAGAAAAAAATCTTCACACATATTTAAAATTTGCAGCTTTGGGGTTCTCTTTCTTTTTGTGCCTGGGAAAAAAAAACCTTTCATTCAACAGGCGTTTTAGTTCATGCCCTTGAAGAAGTTACTCCTGTTATCCCTTAAGCTACTTGGATAGCCTATAAAGCTCAGGACCTTGAGGAGAAGCTGAGTTCTTAGACTGCTCTATTCCTGTCCTTTCAACACAACTCAAAGCAGGATTCAGAAAGAAGCTTTTCCTCTCAGTACAGATGGACTGACTTAGGACAATGACTTGATTTTAGGGGAAAAGATTGTTTGTTTTTTAAACAGAGCATATTTCAAATCATTAGCAACAGTCTTTAAAAAAAAAAAGATCACTGGACATTTAGGACTCAACTTCTGAGGAGTTTGTAGCCTCTTGACAGCCTTGAAGTTTGGAATAGACCTGAGTCAAACAGAAAATGCTATCAGATTCCTCATCTCTCCTCACTTCCTCCCTCCAAAAAAGACACACTTAGAAACCAAATGAGAAATAACAATGATTCCAGATGACAGTATTTCTAGGGTTTTCATTGCTTATTTATAGTCATCAATGGAGATCCATTTAATCTATAATTTAAATATAAAATTTCAGTTTACTAACATTTCTGGCTAGACAAGATAAAAATGTTAGCAGTAGTTGGAATGCAAATTGTTTAACCTAGAAATTCTGACTATGACAGTTAAGTTATGCAAGGACTGCCTAATAATTTGCATACCAGAAGGGGGTGAAAAGGAGATAGAAGATGAAATCCTCAACCACAGAATTCACCACAGTATGATTAGGGTGTCTCATATTTATTTTTAGACCTTAAAACACTTTAATAATGTGTTATAATTATGTATTAGAAAAATATTATCTTTCGATCCTTTTTTTCTAAAAAGTATACTTGATTAGGTCCTTCCTCTAAATTCCTGAAACCTCTGCCCCATACTCAACCTTAATTACCATTTGCCTAGAAACTAAAGGTCTTCTAAGCTCCAGTCTATGCTGCAGACAGTTGAATTTCCAAAATTACTATTTTTATCACGTTACCTGGCTGCTGAAAACTCTTAAGTGGCTCCCCACTGCTTAAGAAATCCGAACTCTACCCTTCCAATTTCATCTCTT